ATATAAAAAAAGATGACTTTTTAAATATATTAAACAGAAAGTTCATAAATATACTAATTTATGGCTTCTAACTTACATGTGTAATAAGAGAGCAAAATCCCAATTAGTCATAAATCAAAAAATACGAAAAGACTGGCTTTTGAAAATAAAATATAATTCTGATCTAATTTGAACTAAAATGACATAAAAATATGACATTCAGTGCTATTTAATCTGGAATGGTCCGGGAGAGACACTCATGGTGCAGAGCATAAGTATGAGAGAGAGGTGCGGAGAGACTATTTTTACCTAAACTGGGTTATGACATGACTACTCTATCGCGCAGTTGTTGGATATCAAAGGACTTTGGTTCATTAAGTTTCTCCCACCTGATTACGTTCATCTGGGGTTCAACGGGGGTTGCCGATGTACTTGATGATTGCGTCTAATTATGTGATCTTTGCTTCTGTCGGCTTAAATCTATCTATTAGATTCTGATGTTTTTTGGTCTTCTGGACTTGATTCTCTGCTTTGGTCCCCAAGATGGAGGACTCCTATCACCAAAACGAAACTACGTTGTCGAGCAGAAAGTGAATCACTGTAATCCGACAAGTAGCTCACCGCTTTCATAAAAAGTCTTTTGGGGGCCTTGTGGAAGGTGTCAAGGTAAAAATTTCGGCCATCTGAACAAGAATCTCAACATGGACCTTGTTCTGAGTTAATGACATCCTTAGGTTCTGTATTGAAGGTTTATATTCTTATATTTTAGTTCATTGGATTTCTTCGAGATTCGTGTTGACACATTTCTGATGTACAAATACTTTTATTATGTTTAAATATTAAGTCATGTGATTTTAATTTGTGCATTCATGTAAAAAAAACTAAAAGTATTTGCGATAGAATACATGATAAAAATATAATATGTTAGTCATGTATAATGAGCTAAACAAATATTATATAGTTTGTTTATTTCCCCTATGTTGGATGAGTGATCAAGCACGAATTTTTGAATCCTTCATTTTATTTTCAGCTAATATGTTATTAGTTAGAGCAGATTTAAACTATTTTTATTCCTAGACATTTAGAACATCTTAATTGGCAGCTATGACTTTCAACCTTTGTAATTTTAAATTGCTTAGAACTACTTCTTAAGCTTTTATTTTCATTTCTCTTTTTTTCTAAAAGACAAAAGCAGCAGAATAGAATCCTATGTTGCTTTATTGAGCTTCTCTCGTGGAATTGGAGCATCCAATGTTCCTCCATGTTCCTGCGGTTTCTTTGTCGGTATAGAAGGATAAGATTTGGACGTTTTTGAAACGCATGAATCAGATTTTTAATGCATCACTGTTGTAAAAATATTTGGTAACATGTAAAAATATTTGGTAACAAAGTCCGTAAGTTCGGACGCTCAACTATCAACTGTTTTGACTGTCGATAAGTGTTATATGGAGCCCGAAAAGAAACCGCTCTCGCCTATGCTTCTCGGTCCCGCCTCTTTGTTCCTGATCGCGAAAGGTCGCGACCGCAACCTTGCAGTTTCGCGAACTGCTCCCGCCTTCTGGTTCGCGAAACACTGCCGCCTCCCTTCATGTCTCCTTGTTCCTTTAAGTCGCGATAAGGTAGACGGTTGAGTGAGTGTGTGTGTGTGGTTCGAGCGAGAGGAGTATCGCTCTCCAAGGCTTCTTCTTCGGCGAGTTGGCTCGCGGCAGAAGGAAGAAGAGGAAAGGCATCGCACGGTCTCTACTTCAGATTTGGCACGGCCTTTTTTTTTGTTCTTCTACGGGCTTTCACGGGATAATGAAAGAGAAGTACAAACAGTAGTTCATTGCAACAGAATGAAGAAGAAAGAAGAAGAAGAAGAAGATTGTTTCCCCTTGGCTTCTTCTTGGTGGCTTGTGACAGATGAAAAATTGGGTTTATTTCTTTTGTAAGTTTATTTTCTTCGGTGTATTTCGATGTAGAGAGAGAAGACGATAGAGAGCGACGAAGTGAGAGATTCCTCTTGTAAGTCGAATGATCGACTGGTGTAAATTTCTTAAGTAGTAAAATCCTATGCAACTCCGTTGATGTAGGCAATTTGCCGAACCGCGTAAATTTGTGTGTTCTACTGTGTTACTATTTTCTAGTGTGAATTTTCTCGTTCTATTTTTCGCTTTGTCGTCGATCGCTCTCCTATTTTATTTCTATATACCACAATAATAAATTGTATGGTGACGTGACACCCGATGACTGGCCGTCCGAATGTGCTGCGTACGAGATGAAATAAATTCTCACATTGAGTAGAAAATATGAGAGGATATCCCACTAGGAGCTGTTTGGATAAATCCTCACATTGAGTAGAAAATATGAGAGGATATCCCACGTTAGGAGCTGGCCTTCCATCGGTGGTTTGGATAAATCCATTTTAAAATTTAACGTCAAGACAAAACGACTGAACCGATCAAATTTTGATAAATTGAACGGATTCCATAATCAACAAATCAAAATTTAATTATTTATTAAATTAGACTTAAAAAAATTACAAATTACATGTCAAAATTATATAATATCTATTTAATTTTATGAATCATTAATTTGAATCAAATGTTGCTTCTAATACATTTTTTATATTCTTAATTTATTCAAAATGAGATCAAAATATTATAAAAATTTTTAATAAAGTCTTAATTTTTTTTTTGTTGAGTTAAATGAAAATTACAATCGGATCAAAAATCAAAAAATAAAATTTAAAGTTTTAAAAATTAAAATTTATTTTTGAAATCAAACCAGACTCATCAAACTTGACTCATTCGTTTTTCAATTTTAGGGTGACAGCTTATGCTTATCCAGATAAGTTGTTTATCTGCAAATGCGGACCACGAAATTCGACCCGCGGTTAGTGTAAAAAACCAACTGCGTTTTCGGATAAGCTACTCAAACGCAGTTTCCAAAAAGTGAAGCGGGGTTTTCAAAACACCGCAACAGATAAGCTGCCCGAAATGCACCCTCAATCAAGTAATAAAAGACATTCAATCTCGAAAGACCATATCAGACACGACATTAACATTTTAAATTGAATTTATTTTATAACTTTATGGTTGTCTTTAAATTTTTTATATTTTATTTTGAGAGTTTTACATATCTAGCAAATAATTCTTATGTATTTGTGTTTCTCACCCAATTTAACTTTCATATTTACATAAATACGACTTTAATGCTTTAAATTTATGTGTTGAAAAAAAATTGTATTTCACTTCTTAAAAGTATCTACGGTACTGATTTGATGTGTTTTATGTGTAAATATGAAAGTTTAGATGCGAGATACGTAATTGCATAAGCATTCTGTGCTGCGTATTTAAATGCCCTTTTACTTTTTATTTTGGGAAATTGGGGTGAAGTTGAATTTCTTTTTGTGAAATCAGACAATATTAAGAGTCTGTTTGGGGCGCCTATTTGGTGCGGTGACGTTTTGAAAACACATTTTGACTGTTTGTGTAAACTGTATTTTGGCAGCTTATACGTTTTGAAAACACTGAAAGCAGCGTTTTCACGTCGCACCTATTTAGGTGTGATGGTAGTTTTCTTGCAGTGGTCTGACTTTTTCAAAAATAAAAATAAAAATTTCTAATAGTCCCCAAAACAAGCTTATCAGTATATTATTTTTAATCAGCTTATCATCACATTATTCAATAAGTTATAGCTGCCCCAAACAAATCTTAAGTATGCGTTTGTTTTGACTTTTCACACCACATTAAAGGTTAAACCGCATTTTGTGCTGCTTGATGGAACGTCGAATCCAAGCGACGCGTTCGCCTCAGGCAAGCTCCACATCCACAAAAAAAATATATATATATATATATAATTGAGATTAGATTAAGATATAACTTAGCAAAATAAAATTATAAGCGAATATTTATATAAGCCGAATCAATTGTCTTGATGCTAATGTGGCATTAGATTTACATACATACCACTTCTTATATATTCACTTATTGAATATCAATATTTTAACTTTTACATACATGTCACCTTAATTATATATGAAAAGATGTATTCACTTTTTTAAATTAAAATAATGATATTTTTGACGCAATATAATGATTTTGGATGATATAAATGTAAATGTAAATGTAATGATTTGGATAATATAAGCCCAATAAATGTAATGATTTGGATGATAATTTTTAAATATAAATGTAAATGCATAAGACTAGGTGGTATGTATGTAAATATCCCTAACTTATATAATTTTGTCAATATAGCTATTAATCATAATTAATAGCAATTAGTATTCTTTTATATGTTATCATGTAGATACAAATAAAGAGATTCTTGTCTAACTCAGATTGCACAGATCCATTGGATGGTCATATCATCTTTTCCTTGATGATCCATTTTTCTTCTCATTGTCCCTTGTACTCTTGATTCTATTATCCCCCAAAGTAAAGAGGAAGCTTTCATCACCAGAGAGATCATTGGAGCTCGCTTCAATTTTGCCTTCACTAACATAGGAAAGCCAAGGGGCGTGGTACTTACCGCAAAGGGGTTAACCTCCTCTTCGTCGAAGGGATTTGGATTATAGTGACCTGCCATGAGGCTGGTAGTAGAGAAATGACGCGGAGTAGATAGGAGAGAAGCAAGGGGGATGAGAAGAGCAAGAGTGAAGGTTGAGGACGAGGAGGCAAGAGAAAAAAAACAGAAAGCGGAGAATTCGGTGTCGAGCAGATGAATTTTGTAGAAGGATATTAAAGTCGAACATCTGCCACGAATGCTGGGCCGCGGGCTTCGACTCGTGGCGGGCGTTCCATCAAATTCGCGTGCCGCGGCCGTGCACGAGACGCCGAAACAAACATTGCCGCGATGCCAGTCCCAAACGGACTCTGAGTTTAAACAAACCCAACCGTTAGGAATAACCATCTCGAAATCTGAACTGTTTCAACAAGTATTTTGTATATTTAAAACAATTCTAGAATCAGTTCAGTAATTCTTCGAAACTGAAGCATTTTATTGCTTAAAAAAATATTATAATTTCCTCTCGCTCCGCAGAACCGCTCCTTCTAAACGACACGTGCTAAAAAGAACACGCGTCCCACTCCCCTGCGCCTTCATCATTCCAATCCCATAACCGCCCGCCGAATATCACCAATATGCCCATCACCTACTCGACCATTTTCCACAGACATTTCCATCCCATACCCGTCTTCCCCAAAATGATGAACATACTCGCCCTCGCTCTCATCCTCACTTCCATCGCCACCGCTTCCTTTTTCTCTCCTCCTTCCGACTCAAACCGCCAAACCATCTGCGAAAGCCACCGCTTGATAGTCCTCCAGTTCGAGCGCCAGATCCCACAATCCTCCTCCTTCCCATCAAGCGCAGGGGAAGTCGCCGGCGAAACCAATAAGAAGCCCCTCGACGCCGGGCAAGACCTCTCTCAGCCTCCGAAGGCCAAAATCTCTTCCCTCTTCACAGACACTAAGCAAAAGGCTATCCAGTTAGAAGAATCTGTCTCCAATACCGTTAAATCTGCCGCCAAAAAGCTCAAACATAAGGCTTCCCAAATTGAAGAAACCATTAAATCCTCCGCCGAGGAGGCCAAGAAAAAGGCCACCCGAATCGAAGAATCTGCCTCCGTTGCTTTTAAAACCGCCGCCGAGACCGCGCTGGAGGCCGGCCAAGAAGTCGCTGGAAACATCTCTTATTCCGCGGCGAAGACAGCCGAATCAACGAAGGACATCCGGCGCCTGGCTTGGGAGATTGGGCGCGACCTGGCAGCGTTTGTGAGCGCGGGCGTAGTGAATACCGTGCGGTCGGCGGCCGCGGTGATCCACTTGCTAGGGTTTGCGACGGCGTATGGCACGTGCGTGTGGGTGACGTTCGTGTCGAATCACGTGCTGGCGTCGGCGATGCCGCGACAGCAGTTTGGGATGTTGCAGAGCCGGATATATCCGGTTTATTTCAGGTTTTTGGGTGTGGCCGTCGGAGTGGCGCTCGCCGGGCATGTTCTGAAGGGAAAAGATAGAGTGCAGGCATATAATTTGATGGCAATGCTGGCGTTTGTGTTGTTGAATGTGTTCTGGTTGGAGCGCAAAGCAACCAAGGTTTGCTTAATTAAACCAAAAATATTATATATATATAA